AAGGGCGGGAAAATATGAGGGGAGAAAAAGGGCGGGAAAACGTGAGGGGAGAAAAAGGGCGGGAAAACGTGAGGGGAGAAAAAGGGCGGGAAAACGTGAGGGGAGAAAAAGGGCGGGAAAACGTGAGGGGAGAAAAAGGGCGGGAAAACGTGAGGGGAGAAAAAGGGCGGGAAAACGTGAGGGGAGGAAAAAGGGCGGGAAAATGTGAGGGGAGAAAAGGTGGGAAACATGAGGGGGGAAAAGGGTGGGAAACATGAGGGGAAAAAGGGAAGTGTGAGGGGGGGAAGAGTGGGAAACATGAGGGGAAAAAGGGAAACGTGAGGGGACAAAAAGGGCGGGAAAATGAGAGGGGAAAAAGGGAAGTGTGAGGTGGGGAAAGGGCAAGAAACGTGAGGGGAGAAAAGGGCGTGAAAATGTGAGGGGAGAAAAAGGGCGGGAAAACATGAGAAAAAGGGCGGGAAAACATGAGAAAAAGGGTGGGAAAACGTGAGGGGAGAAAAAGGGCGGGAAAACTTGAGGGGAGAAAAAGGGCGGGAAAACGTGAGGGAAAAAACTGGCCCTAAATAACCCAAAATACTAAAAAATACCCTCCAAATCCACCCCAAAACAACACCTAAGAACCCTCATGGTCAGGTATCCAAAAATGGTCCTAAAATATCCCTAAAACAGCCCCAAAATACCCCAAAACCACCTCCAGAGCCCCCCAAACCCGTTTCTCCTGGGCCCTGTCTGTGATGGGGTTGAGGGGTCAGGGGAGATTTTTTTGGGGGAGATTTTTGGGGGGCTGTGACCCCCCCTGTGACCCTTCTGTCCCCCTCAGCTCTGCTGACCCCCGCGGGTCCATGTCCACCCCGGCCTGGCTGGAGAGAGTGGTCATCCTGGGGGTGGGGCGGCCGGAGAGCGCCCTGCTGACCACCCACGGTGAGGGGGGATTTCGGGGGGTTTCTGAGGGTTTTTAGGGTGGGTTTTGGGGGGATTTAGGGTGGATTTTGGGGCGTTTCTGAGGGGTTTTAGGGTGGGTTTTGGGCGGTTTTTGGAGGGGTCATCCTGAGGGTGTAAGGAGGCCTGAGAGCACCCTGCTGACCACCCATGGTGAGAGGGATTTTGGGGGGGTTTTAGGGGTTTTTGGGTGGATTTTGGGACGTTTCTGAGGGGTTTTAGGGTGGGTTTTGGGCGGTTTTTGGAGGGGTCATCCTGAGGGTGTAAGGAGGCCTGAGAGCACCCTGCTGACCACCCATGGTGAGAGGGATTTTGGGGGGGTTTTAGGGGTTTTTGGGTGGATTTTGGGACGTTTCTGAGGGGTTTTAGGGTGGGTTTTGGGGGGTTTCTGAGGGGTTTTAGGGTGGGTTTTGGGCGGTTTTTGGAGGGGTCATCCTGAGGGTGTGGGGAGGCTGGAGAGCACCCTGCTGAGCACCCACGGTGTGGGGGGGTGTTGAGTGGATTTTTGGGGGGTTTTGGGGTTTTAGGGGGGGGTTTTGGTGGGGTTTTGAGTTTTTTAGGGGGCGTTTTGGAGGGGTCATCCTGGGGGTGTGGGGGGGCCGGAGAGTGCCTGGCTCAGGATGGACAATGAGGGGTCAGAGGGGGGGATTTGGGGGGGATCCTGAAGAAATTTTGGAGTTTCTGAGGGGCTTTTTGGGGTCCTTGAGGGAGGATTTGGGATCCCTGAGGGGAGATTTTGTTGTCCTTGAGAGAATTTTTGGTTTCTGAGGGGAATTTGGGGTCCCTGAGGTGAATTTGGGGTCCCTCACGGAGAATTTGAGGTTTCTGAGGGGAATTTGGGGTCCCTGAGGTGAATTCGGGGTCCCTCACGGAGAATTTGAGGTTTCTGAGGGGAATTTGGGGTCCCTGAGGTGAATTCGGGGTCCCTCATGGAGGATTTGAGGTTTCTGAGGGGAATTTGGGGTCCCTGAGGTGAATTTGGGGTCCCTCATGGAGAATTTTTTGTTTCTGAGGGGAATTTGGGGTCCCTGAGGTGAATTTGGGGTCCCTCATGGAGAATTTTTTGTTTCTGAGGGGAATTTGGGGTCCCTGAGGTGAATTTGGGGTCCCTCATGGAGAATTTTTTGTTTCTGAGGGGAATTTGGGGTCCCTGAGGTGAATTTGGGGTCCCTCATGGAGAATTTTTTGTTTCTGAGGGGAATTTGGGGTCCCTGAGGTGAATTTGGGGTCCCTCATGGAGGATTTGAGGTTTCTGAGGGGAATTTGGGGTCCCTGAGGTGAATTTGGGGTCCCTCATGGAGAATTTTTTGTTTCTGAGGGGAATTTGGGGTCCCTGAGGTGAATTTGGGGTCCCTCATGGAGGATTTGAGGTTTCTGAGGGGAATTTGGGGTCCCTGAGGTGAATTTGGGGTCCCTCATGGAGAATTTTTTGTTTCTGAGGGGAATTTGGGGTCCCTGAGGTGAATTTGGGGTCCCTCATGGAGGATTTGAGGTTTCTGAGGGGAATTTGGGGTCCCTGAGGTGAATTTGGGGTCCCTCATGGAGAATTTTTTGTTTCTGAGGGGAATTTGGGGTCCCTCACGGAGAATTTGGGGTCCCTCATGGAGAATTTTTTGTTTCTGAGGGGAATTTGGGGTCCCTCACGGAGAATTTGGGGTCCCTCATGGAGAATTTGGGGTTTCTGAGGGGAATTTTGTCTTCTTGATGGGTTTTTGGGGTCCCTGATGTGAATTCGGGGTCTCTCAGGGGAAATTTGATGTTTCTGAGGGGAATTTTGTGTTCTTGACGGGTTTTTGGGGTCCCCGAGCTGGAATTCGGGATCCTTGACCCCAAATTTGGGATCCCTGACCCCGGATCCCGTGTCCCCCCCAGGCGGTTCCCAGACCCCGCTGCATTTCCAGCACGACCCCGAGCGCTCGGTGCTGACCCTGCGGCGCCCGGGGGTCCCCATCGGGGCTGACTGGAGCATCTCCCTGCGATAATGGACGGGGGGGGCCCCCGGACCCCCCCCCAAATCCCCCCGAA